TCAATTTCATGAGTGTGAGGGATATGGTCATGTTAGAAGAGAATGCCCCACATATCTCAAGAAAAAGGGAAAAAGTCTAACTGTCTCTTGGTCTGATGAAGACTCAGAAAGTGAGTCAGATTGTGAGGTTGCCAAGCATGTCACTGCTCTCAACAGTGTGTGCATCTCTGATAGTGGTTCAAGTGAAGAAGACATGACACTTGAGGAGCTTGCAGCCTCATATTAGAAGCTTCACATTAAAAGTTCTGAACTGTATCAACAAGGAGAGCTCCAGAAGAAAATCATCAAAGATTTAGAAGCTGAAAAGAAAGAGCATCTGGCTACCATAAACTTACTCCAAGGAGAGATAAATGAGTTGAAAGGTGAAAAGGATCAAATGACTAAATCTATTAGGATGCTCAACTCTGGGACTGACACACTAGAGGAGATTCTCCAGAGTGGTCAGACTGCAGGTAATAGGTCTGGTCTAGGTTTTGTAGAGACACAAAATCCTATCTTAAAGCTCAAGAGGATACAGCCTGATATTCATAAGTTAAAGAGAATGTCACAGCCAAAGTCACAACATCCCCCACCCAGAAATTGAAAGCAAGTCAAGAAACAGTTCCAAGGGCATAAATGGTTCCACTGTGGAAAACTTGGGCATATTAAGGCTGTGTGTTTCTGGCTGCATGGATTTCCTAGTCAAAGACCAACCAAACAGGGTAGGCAAGTCATAAGGCAACAATATGGAAGAAAACAGCAGCATGTCAAGGAACAGTATCATACTGAACCCAAGAAAAATGGTCCCTACAGGAAAAGACAATGGGCTGCCAAAACTATGGCACTAACCGCTCATACTTCCTTAAGAATACCAATCAAGGAAGATTGGTACTTTGATAGTGGTTGTTCTAGACACATGACAAGAATGGTGAACCTATTGGTGGACATCAAACCTTGTTCCTCAAGTCATGCAACATTTGGAGATGAAGCTAGAGGAAAAATTCAAGGAGTGGGTCAACTTGACAGCTCTAAAGGGGCAAAACTAAAAGATGTGTTGCTGGTCAAAGGACTAACTGTCAACCTAATAAGCATAAGTCAGCTATGTGATCAAGGATTAAAAGTGCACTTTTCCAAAGATGAGTGTGTGGTAATCAATGAAGAAGGTAAAGAAAAAATGAGGGGATCCAGATCCAAGAATAAATGTTACCTATGGGAGTCCAGAAGTAACATATATGGATTGATTAATAAGAACCAACTATGGATATAGAAGGAAAGATAACCTCTAAAAATAGAAAGAATCAAGTTCAACTCATTTGCAAAAGGATCCTCAAAGTATGCTTCAAAAAGAAGGATAGGAGGTAAGAGAAGCCCTGAGGGGAGGCTAGACAAGAAAGGGTACCTAAATATTGGTCACCAGGTAAAGCTAGATAGGCTATATTGGAACCTGATGGAGTCCATATGGAGCATAAAAGTAGCAATGTTACTCAGAATGTCATGACCCTGTTCAGTGACATCAAAGGACAACAATTTAAAAATTTAAGTTCCTCTAGTTCTGATGATTTATAGCAATTAAATAGAATTGGGAATTATGTTTTGAAACTAATTCATTTAATACAAATTCAAAAACGTAAGTTCCCTCCTAGTGGACTATCATATATCTCTCCCATGTACACAAAGTATCTCTTCTACTCTTGGTACTATCACAAACGTTCCAACTTCCACACCATATCAAGCAAGCAAAGAAAAGGGTTTGTATCCCATTCAAGATCACCTTCTATGGCGCAACCAACCATCAAAATGAATACCAATAATGCTGAGGCAAACCCTAATGACATTCTAGAGATTGTCCCTCTACGGATGATGACACCTGAAGGTCAATTGGTAAAGAGACCTAGGAAACTACATGCAAAACGATCTAGAAACCCTGGCCCAGGACAAGCTTCTTCTACAACTGCTCCTATTGACCCAAATACATATGAAGGCAGGCAAAATCATCTTAAAATCGCAGAAATGGTGGTTGAGGTTCTCAACATCCCCACTTGATCCGTCACTGAAAGGACAGAACCTGATCTAGATGATCAATGTAATGTCACTCCAAATGTCAAAACATTGGTAGACGATCCTCCGGAAGAAAATAGCAAGGATGAACGGGCTGATAAAGTGGATGATGCCATGCAGGGATCCAAAAGAACTGAAGTATTTAACCTAGAAGACTACTCAGATAATGATCTCATTGTTAAGTTCAATCCAGGAGTAGCCAAAAGGCTAAGGAAAAGAAAAGGAAAAAGGGCAGCTGATCAAAGTTCTCCCAAGCAAAAGAAGGATGAGAAGGTTGCTGAACAAGAAACCTCTGCAAAGAAGTTTGGTACAAAGAGGTCTAAAGTTGGTCCTCCTAAGGGCTGGAGCAAAGTTGTCACCAAGAAGCAGAAAGCTAAGTCCAATTCAGACTCAGAAATTGACTCTGATGTTGACATTGGTGTCACTGACATTCAAACCAAGCAAAAACCTGCTACAAGAAAACTGGCTGCAAACATTCCTGAAGTACCTATTGATAACATTTCCTTTCATTATCCATCTAGTGTCAACAGATGGAAATATGTGTTTCACAAAATATTGGCCATAGAAAGGGAGCTTGCCCAAAATGCACTTGAGAACAAAGAAATCATGGCTCTGATAAGCAATGTTGGCTTAATAAAAACAGTAACTCAACTCCCCTAATGTTATGAAATGCTGGTAAAAGAATTCATAGTCAATCTTGCTAGAGAAAGTGTAGATAAGAAGTCGAGTGAGTATGGCAAAGTATATGTGAGAGGCAAGTGTGTCAAGTTTACACCAACAATCATCAACAAATACCTGGGACGACCTCATGAAGGGCTGACTGAAATCCAAGCCTCAGATCATCAAGTGTGTAAAGAAATCACTGCCAAACAAGTCAGACAATGGCCATCCCAAGGGAAGCTTGTAGCAAGCAAGCTAAGTGTCAAATATGCTATGCTCCACAAAATTGGGGCTGCAAACTGGGTGCCCACAAACCATAAGACCACAGTGGCCACCATTCTTGGAAAGTTCATATATGCAGTGGGAACTAAGGCTCCTCTCAATTATGGGACATACATACATGAGCAAATGATGAAACATGCTGGGAGTTATGGTGTTAAAGGACCTATTGCTTTTCCTTCTCTCATTTGTGGGATAATTTGTGAACAACATCACAACATCATCAAGGAAGGTGAAACTGCCTGAGAGAAACCCCTTTATCTTTCAACTACAAATTGTTTCAAGGTACATATGTCTCTGACATTGGCCTGACTTCAGCTGAGACAACCAACCAGAGTCCCAAGACCAACAAAGCAGCAGTAATTGTTATGCTCAAGGAAACTTGCAGGGAGCTGGACACAAGAAAGCAGACTCTTGAGAAACTAATAAGGTCACTTGAGCAAAATGAGGAAACTGAAGTCATTAATGAGGAAACAAATGAGGACAGTGTAAGGGAGGCTGATGATCAAGAAGCTGCCTCAGATGAAGCTGCTAGTAGTCCAGAAGACACCACAAATGAAGCAGCAGGAAGCAAGGAAGAATCTGAGGAGGTTGAATCCAGCTCCAGTGAAACAGCTATATAAAATGTAAAACTATCCTAGTTTACTATCAGTGCTAGCAACCACTATTCCAGTTTCTGCTAGCGGATGTGGCGGCGCTAACAATAGTTGAAAAAGAGGATTTTTGGGGATTTTTAAGTAATAAAATTGAATTGTCAATGATTATTACCCTCAAATTCACTGTATTAATACATAAATCTTTTAATGGGTAGGTTATATTTTGCCTTGATTCCCTTTTTTATTGTATAGAGCATGCCTTCTTTTATTTATAATTAACCTATTTCAACCACTATGTTGCTTCAGTCATTTGCCTGCTACGTTATCTGCTATTTCTCATAGCGGATTTTCAGCATTCTTCTTTTTTCCGTAATTTGCTATTGATAATGCTACCAAAATGCAATAACTCTATCTTGTTCTAATTCTTGTAGACGAAATTCTCAAAAGTTTAGTCTACTAACTTGATATGAATTTTATATTTCTGATATGCAGGGTAAGCCAACAGAGAAAAAATGTCTTATTGTAATGAAGGTCAGTATCAAATTCTTGCCTCATCCATGACTAAAATAATTATTCCTTTTCAGATTTTGCTCAATTCAAATATCTTGTTGATCGGTTGATACCTAAGACTTAAATCCAGTGAACTCTTAGAATATAAGTTTGATCCGCAATATATATATATATATATATATATATATATATATATATATATATATATATATATATATATATATATATATATATATATATATATATATATATATATATATATATATATATATATATATATATATATATATATATATATATATATATATATATATATATATATATATATATATATAGTTATACAGAATTTGTGGCCATGTATTGCCTTTTGTGATAAAACTTGTTAAGACATAAGCGCAATATGATAGATACTTCATAGAAACAAAACATTATGATTTAAAAATAGTGTAACTTGACAAAGAATTGGCCAAAGGGTATGGCGCAACTGGTTGTGCAGGTCGAGCATGTGAGGTTGACCTAGGTTAGATTCTCGCATAATACATTCTTGGAAAGGGGCGCAGAACCTTAATTATGACTCACTTGCGCAGAGATTAGTCATATTAGGTTAAAAAGATTTAAGTTTGTGCGAATACTATGTGGAACCGCTAGGATGCCAAAAGCTCTAATTATGGCGGGTTCCTCCCCAAAACAATATCTGACAACGAATCCATTTGAAGCTTCTTTTACAGTCAAGCATAAAGCTTTCATATTCTTGTGAAAATGAAAACGAGAATAAACCTTTAAGCAACATAAATATATTGTTTAGCTAGGTTTAGTAATTGTTTCGGCTCATGTATTTTTTTCCTGTTTCTCCTTTGGCAACTTAAACGATGGGAGCGAAAGGAATGTAAACCTAACAGCCTTCCTGTGTTGCACAAAATGCATGTTAAAGTTGAAGATACATTGAAAGTCATATCTGGACATGATAAGGGTCAAATAGGGGAGATTACTAGGATCTTCAAACACAACAACACTGTCATTGTTAAAGACATAAACTTGAAGTCAAAGCATGTGAAAAGTAATGGAGCGGGAGAACCAGGTCAAATAGATAAGGTGATTGTCATCTCCCTTGCTAGAAAAACATTGTTGTAAATTCTTCACTCAAGAGTTAGATGATCTCCTATTATATAACACTCTTTTTTGTTTGAGAGAATCTGTGTTCGAATATTTGTTGTAACAATCCTTGGTTGGGTTTTACTTACCTCCCGACTGAATTTGTGTCGTTTTTCCTTGGGAACCGGAAGGTTAAGAAAAAAATAAGGTTTAGAAACATGCGTTGATGTGTGATTGTCTAATTCATTGAGAAACCATTGTCTTGAATTTCAGATTGAAGCTCCTATCTACAGTTCAAACGTGATGCTTTACTCCAAAGAAAAGGATGTAGCAAGCCGCGTAGGTCATAAAGCTCTTGAAAATGGTAAAAGAGTTCGCTACCTGATAAAAACTGGAGAGATAATTGATAGCGTAGAGAATTGGAAGAAACTGAAGGAAGCTGATAAGAAAATTGCAGAAATTGCTGCCACCTAGTTTTACCGTATTACTTCATGTACTCAGCAGTTATGTAACTCTACACCTGTATTTTTTTTTTGCTCATTTTATTGTTAAGTGTATATTATGTTATTATTTTGGTTACCTATGTTGATCTTCATACACAACTTAGCAATTGAATTTGTTGTCTTTTTAGAAAGTAAATGTTCTTGACTCTCTCTACTTGCTGGAGAACTGATGTAGGAAATAAGGGTTTACAAAGCGCTAAAGAAACTGAGGTGGTAGACCTAGAGGAATACTCAGACAATGATCTATTGGCAACAATCAATCCAAGTATAGCCAATAGACTAATGAAAAGGAAAGGGAAAAAGGTGGTTGACCAAAGCTCACCCAAGAGAAAAGCTGCTGAGAAGACTGTTGACCAAACTCTCTTCACAAAGAAAGCTAGGACAAAGAAAATCAAGATTGGACCCTCAAAAGAGTGGAGCAAGGTAACCATCATGGAAAGGAAGACTGAATCAAGCCCAAAACAAGAGACTGACTCAGATGTTTCTATAGATGTCACTAACATCCAATCTAAAAAGAAACCTTCCACCAGCAAGCTGACTGAAAATGTTCCTGAGGTACCTATTGACAACATCTCTTTCCACTATCCTTCATGTGTCACTAGATGGAAGTATGTGTTTCATAAAAGACTGGCATTGGAGAGAGAGCTAGCTCAGAGTGCCCTTGATAACAGAGAAGTCATGGAACTCATTCATGAAGCTGGGCTGATAAAAACTATTGGGCAATTCTCTTCCTGCTATGAACTACTTATTAAGGAATTTATAGTTAACCGAACAGCTGACTGTGCTGACAGGAAAACCAAGGAATTTGACAAGGTATGTGTTGCGGTGAAAATTTGATATCAAGCTATTAATTAACTTGAACCTTATTTCTTTTACAACCGGTCTTTAATTTATCCAAAGGATAGGTCTAAAGAAAGAAAGAACCTTTTGCGCGATGTGACAACAACGCTTTTAAGAGATTCGGGGATTCGGGGGTTGGTTATATCTAGGGAAGGTATTAGCACCCTAAATATCTGTAGTACTCTACAGGAACCTTTTGTTCAATTACTTGCTAGGTTGTGAAACATGCATTATGGTTTAATTGGGAATTGGGATAAAACAAAATAAAGGCCTAAGTGGTTTTCTAAGTTTGCTCGCAAAGGCGTCGCGCTTTTTGCCTACGTATCCTGACTAGGATAGAATCAGAGCAATCGTAGTTCACCTCACAAGGGAAAAGAACACTTGATGATGATCAAGGTTCAAAGGGGAACAAACATGACGATGTTTGTGTGGAGTTTGACAAAACTCCCTAAACTAAATTGTAAAAGGGGAAGTAAGAAATCATGACGATGATTCTTACACAGAGTTGACGAACTCTTTCCTAGGGTTCTAGTTGAAGAACACTCCTAGTATGGGTGGGTTTCTTAGACTTCAAGCAAAGTCTAAAGGCTTCTAGTCTAGGGTTAAGGTGACTTAACAAAGTCAAGGGATAGCAGAGATTTTGGTCCAAGACATTGACAGTCAAGTGGACAGACCTTCCTTTGGAGGAACAACATTGTCGGCAACTGGACGAAAGCTAACGAGCTCCGTCGCTTAGGGATAAAATAAAATACAAACATCATTCAAACATTCATGGTGACAACTAAATACAAAGATTAAAGATGGAAAGCAATGATGACAATCAGAGCAATTGTTTTGGTACAAGAACCGTGACGACAGTTCGCACCTGGAATACCGTTAACAGACAGATGAGATAAATATAAAAATAATTCAAGGTAAAAATTCTAACATGTTGACAAACATATATAGATATGATAACAATCAATTTTCCTGAGAAAACACAAGAGGAAACCTTCTAAATTTCATCTGCAACCAAATAGGGTTAGTACCGTTGACGCGCGGATTGCGCACCATAAAACGTGGTGAAAAAATAATCAAACATGGAAAATAAAATTATGACATGAAAGTACACATTAAAATAAACACAATGAAAAAAGAACGGGTGAAAAACGATAAAAAATGAGAGAGTTACGAATTTTTGAAGTTTATGTACAAAAATAGGAAAAATAATAAAAGGGTTCGACCTCCACCCGGATCGAACCCTGGTCATGATGGTGAAAGGTATAATTGCGCGCATGCTCTTACCGCTGGGGCGGCTTTTACATCCATTAATCAAATGGAAACAATATGTATACAAGGCTCGTTTTGAATCATGGCTGGGCAAAATACATAATCAACACCAAATACGTTTTATACCGTATCTCACTAACCGCTCATCGGATCGAGGCAAATTTTATATGGATCTTGGGTAGAAAAATGAGAGGAAGAGGATGGTGATGTTAGTTTTTCCAAATTGTTCACCTAGTGAAAAAAACGCTGACTGGTGTGTGTGTGTGTTTTGAATGCATGGAAACATAATCGAAACCAAATACGTTTTATACCGTATCTCACTAACCGCTCATCGGATCGAGACAAATTTTATATGTAAATTGGGTAGAAAAATGAGAGGAAGAGGATGGTGGTGTTAGTTTTCTGAGATTCATTTTCCTGTGAAAAAAACGATAGCTGGTGTGTTTATGTGCTTTTGATTTGCAAAATGACATGGACACCTTGATATACACATGCTATAAGTCAAGTAAAGGCACATACACATCATATATGTCATATATAACAGATAGCAAGCACAAATTGAGCCAAAGCATGAGTAATTGTGACTGTTGTGCATAAGTTGCAAATCACATAACATGAACATGCATGACAAAAGTGATTTTTGGTTCTTGAGTGTTTTGTGTGATTCCAACTGTTCTAACACCTTAAATATATCATATGAAGTGTGTGTAGATGAAAACATTTCAACTGGAACACATGTGTAAGCATATAGCATTCAAATTGCAAATTGAAGCACTTATGTGTGTGTGAAGCATAATGTGATGTGAAACTTTGATTCATTGGTTTCTAGTGTAAGATGAGCATACCAACATGTCATATTTGAGTGTTATAAAGTGTATGTGGAGTGAATTTAAGAGAAAACCAGTTTGGTGCAAAGTTGGTCTTTTGGTGGTTTATGTGTGGAAGATCATGAACACACCTCTCATTCATGCTTTATACTTCATTTTATCAAAAACCTAAATATGCAAGATATGGAGAATAATGAAAGAGCAAGGTTTTACAAATTACATACCTGTTGGTGATCTTATTTAGCAAGCCAAGAATGTTGAGAAAACCAGAGGTGATGAAATCCAAGCTTTGTATTTGTGCTTTTACTTGAAACTTAAGAAACAAGTCACTTGAGACGCCAAAATGAGATTTCTGAGTTCTTGATGAAGGATGGAGGTTTGGACAGTTGGTATATATGATATTTGAGGTGTCCAAAGGATCAAAACCTCAAGAAAGTGTTTGGAGCAAGATTTGGAGGTTTTTATGGACTTTGGTCAAAGTAAGTTTCATGAAAAGTTGACTTTTGCATTCTTTGAATTTTTTGGTGATTCAATGGTTGGTACACCTTCTATATGTGATTTAGAGGGTGTGTGGATGATAGTTTGAGTGCTGGAACATGAAGAACTTGATATGGTAGCAAAGTTGCAAATGCTGAATTTTGGCAATTTTTGGCTATTTTGGTGATTTTGCAAAATGTAAGTAAGTGAGAGATGTGATGAGGGAATTTGGTTTAGCAGGTTTTTAGAATGAAGTTCATGTCCTAAATGAGGAGTTTGAAGTCCCTATTTATAGAAAAAATGAGTGAGGAGCTTGCTAGGTGACTTTGCTTCACCATGAAGAAATCTTAGATTTTTTCTTCCAAATGACAACTTGCTTTGCTTTTCTGATCTCTAGCTGTTCCCTTAACTCAATTGGCAAGTTAGAATGATGATGTTACAGAGAAAACACAGCCTAGAGGCTTGGTAGAGTGGCTGGAGCAGAAATCCCTTTACACCTCATGCTTGGAAAAGTCAATCTTTTCAACTTAGGCAATGAACTTCCAATTCTTGATTCCATGCTATCTCCTTGCTATTTCTTTGATTCAACCTGCTTGAGATGATTAATATATCAGATAGAAGGAGTTTAGAACATTGAAATTGATCCACTTGAGTGATAGAGGTGCTTTTGCAAAATTCATCAATGTGGGACAAAAGTGACAAATTGTCAACTTTGAACACATGTATCTCTCAGCTCATAAATCCCCTTGAGATGTAATTGTACTTTTTAGAAAGCCCTCACATAGTACTACAACTTTCATGTTGGCCATAAGTCTTGATTCCATTTTAAACTAGGTGAAAAACCCCCTTGAAGTTGGCTGATTTTAGCTTCTAAAGTGAAAATGACTTAGAAATTTTCTAAGTTATTTTCCCTTCTAGGAATGTTTTTGCTTATATCTCAAAAAGTATGCATTTTCTGGTTGTGGACTAGTATGGGACTTTTGTAGGACTTGTCAAGAGATTTCAAATGAGACTAGAACCAACTCAATTGGATGTGCGGTTAAGGAGATACGGTTTAGCCCTTTTCAAAACCCTAATTTCCCGATTTCTCGATTACTCTCTCATCTTTGATCCAATGATCATGAAAATTGATATGCAAGTCCATTATGACATAAGGAACAACTTTGATTCACAACTTGGATTCCAATTCTCAAAATTCGAGGAGTTGACTTTTCGGTCAACCGTACGATCGATCGGTGCCGATCGAGTCGCCTGTTGATATTCTGGACATCCTGGGACTTTGACACTTCTTGAATAGTCTTTAATAGCCTATATTAACTTCATGGACCTCACTCCCACCATTAAAACCTTTCCCAACATCAAAGTCAAACCACAGTTGACTTTCCACTGGTTAAAAACCCTAATCGGGGCCTCCTGACTGCACTGTTCTTGATTCTGAAACGATTTCTTCAAATTGACTTCCCATTTGACTTTGATATTGTCTTTGATTTCATTCCATGATTGAATTGGCCCAAATCATTGGTTGATCATTCCTTGATTGTTTTGAATTTGTCGGTGC